TCCAGCCAAGAGAGTTATTGCCTCCTCTTTGCCTGGATCTTAAATCTTTGTTCAAAGACAGCTTATTTTAATTGAAAATGTTCAATCAATCTCTCCCCTCCTCCCCATCTATATCCCATTCCTTAATTCAAACAGGGCCATTTGCAGTAAATAATCTGGAGTGAGGTTTTCGGGGCTCAAGGAATACATAATAGGGTTGGAGGAGGAAGGGTAGAGAAGGGTTGTTCCAGACAACTCTCACCTTTAAAGTACTGTCTTTTAAAGACAGCTTGTCCAAAATGATCAACATCTCACAGTGAGACCTTGTACTAGGACAGCCCAACTCATTCACCTTGCAGAGTTCAAGAGGATTGGTTAACAAGGATATCTCCTAAGGTTACTTCAAGATGGGCTGTCAGTGCAGGTTGCAGAGGAAGGGTTTGGGCTTCCCTCTTTCCTATTCATTCATTCACTCAGCTCCCATATGTTAATCTTCAGCTAGGTACTCCACATACTTCACAACAACCCTGTGAGGCTGGCATTATTCTTCAAATTTTACAGATGAGGAAACTGAGGGAGATGGAACAGCTTATGCAAGGACACACAGTGTTCTGGTTCTTTACTGCTGCATAACAAATCTCCCCAAAACTTAGTGGCTTAAAATAATAGCTATTCTCTCATGTTTTCTGAGGGGCAGAAATTTGGAAAGGGCTTGGCTGGGCAGTTTTAGCTGGGAATCTTAGATGTAGTTGCAGAAGTTGGAACAGCAGAGGGCTAGGGGAGCAGGGGGCTGTTTGGGAATCTTTCTCTTCATGTAGTCTCGGGGCTTCTTCATGCAGCCCTTCTGTGTGGGCTTGTTTGGGCTTCCTTACAGCATGGCAGCCTCAGGGTAGTTAGACTGCTTACATGGCAGCTCAGGACCCCAGCTTGAGTATTCAACAAGCAAAGTGAAAGTTAAATCACTTTTTATGACCTAACCTCAGAAGTCCCGCAATGTCACTTCTGCCACATTGTTTTCATAACAAGTGAGTCACATGCTCACCCAGATTCAAGTGAAAGGGATATATAGACCACATCTCTCGATGGGAGGAGTGTCAAGGTCATATCATAGAATAACATGTGAGATATTGTTAGAGCCATCTTTGGCAAAGACAACCTGTCATACACAGCATGTGGCACAGGCAGGATTTTGAACAAACAAAAGTTACTGCTGAGAAGTTCTGACTTATGGCAACCCTGTGTGTGTCAGAGTAGAACTATGCTCCACGAGGTTTTCAGTGGCTGATTTTTATGGGAGTAGATCACCAGGACTTTCTTCCAAGGTGCCTGTGGGTAGACTCGAGCCTCCGACCTTTTAGTTAGCAGCCGAACGTGTTAATCATTTGCACCACCCAGGGACTCTGCTGCAACTTTTTAGCCCATCCCGCAAGGACCATTCTTTTCCTCTGTGCCCCTGCAGCTCTTAGTGTCAGTACGTACAACCTGTGCCTTGGTCTCCTCAAACAGACTGACTGGGTTAAAGCAGCCAGCCTGCCTTTGTAGATCCTGGCAGTGAGAGTGCCTCCAGGGTCTGCTGGTCAGAGAGGCCATGTCCAAGGCCAACTTGTGAACTTTTTAAAGGAGACAGAGAAGGTCAGTCACATCCAGAAGAAGAAAGCAGGTGGCGTCCTCAGAGCACAGCATGGCAATCCTGCTTAAATAACTTGTCTGGTGTTTTTCCTTCTACCACCAGGTACTGGCCTGGGATGACTCAGCCTGTGACAGAAAAGGTGACTTCAAGCTCGGAAACAGGCCAGAATAGTGGGAAGCTCATAGTTCTGGAGTCAGACGTTCTTGGGTTTGAGTCCTGACTCTACCATTACCACTTACGTGGCCTGGGGCAAGCTCCTTAATCTGAGTAAAAAGAAAATAAAAATGCCTTTCTTTACTGGGTTGTTTTGAAGGTTAAAAAGCATAAGTAAGCAAGGCACTTAGCACGGTGCCAGGCACATAGTAGGTGCTCTATAAATGCTAGTTTTCATGACCTGGGCCACCTCCAATCCCAGCCGGGGAACTTCTTAAAGAAGGTGATGAGAACTCACTTGGCTGTTACTCAAAGGCTAGTCCAGTTCCATGGCCGTGGATGGAGTGGTGGCCCAGAAGCCCCCAGACCAGGGCAGCACCAAAGGAAGGCCTACAACAACTGCTCACAATCCTACAAGTGGAATCAACTACATCTTTTCTTCCTGCTCCACCTTGGCTTCTCTGCTGTGGCCCTACCAAGCCTGCTCCTGCCAAACACTCCCTTCACACAGGTCCTGGCACACTGCAGGCTTCCAAAAATGCTTGTTAACCGGATGGATGGATGGATACATCGGGGATCTAATTACTTCTGTACTGTTGTTTATTTTATGCCCCCTCACTGAAATGTTCTCTCCAGTTGTCCTGTCTTTATAGTCTGACTTGGAACTGTTCTCATCCAGAGAGCCCTCTCAGACCAACCTCAGGTTCCTGCTTCTTTACGCCGCAGGGCGCTCCACATGCCCCTTCGTCAGGTGTGAGCCTTGTCTCCCTCAGTAGACTGAGTGTTCCCTACCAAGTATAAGACAAGAGGCACACAGAGGTGAATATCAAATGGTGCATCCTGGAGGCTCTCATGACAAGCAGTATGGGAGGTAGATAAGTACATGGAGCTAGGGTTGTTGTTATTGCTGTATGCTGTCGAGTTGATTCCCACTTATAGTGACCCTATATGACAGAATAGAACTGTCCCTCAGGGTTTTCTAGGCTGTGATCTTTATGGGAGCAGATTGCCAAGTCTTTTATCCTGCAGTGCAGCTGGTTGAGTTCAAGCCACTGACCTTTCGGTTAGCAGCTGAGCGCTTAACCATTGCACCACCAGGGCTCCTTGGGTTCAGATCCTAGCTTCTTCACTTATTAGCTGCCTAATTTGCGGGGAAATCACTTACCCTCTCAGTAAAGTGGACACAACAATATACCTACCACATTGGATTGTCGTGAGGATTAAATAAGTCAATGTAGTAAGGCACTTATATAAGTATTCACTATCATGATTTACAGGAGCCCTGGTGGCACAGTGGTTAAGTGTTAGGCTACTAACTGAAAGATCACCGATTTGAGCCCACCAGCCACTCCGTGGGAAAAAGATACGGTGGTCTACTTCCGTAAAGATTTATAGCCTTGGAAACCCTATGGGGCAGTTCTACTCTGTCCTACAGGATCGCTAGGCATCAGAATGGACTTGACGGTAGTGGGTTTCGGTATTATGATTTATTCATTCAACACATATATATATTTCCCAGTTATTGCCAGGCAAGTATGTGGGTATTAGTGATAAATAAGACAGATATGGCCTCTGCCTTATAGAGCTTGCAGACTAGAAGGGGCTACCAAAAAGAAGAGACAGTTACACGACAGTGTGACAAGTGGTCTGGTTGGTGAAGAACTGAAAAAAGCAGCTATGGGAAAATCCTAGGAGGGTCGCCTATCTAGCATGGGTGGCTATCCATGAAGTGACAACTAAACTGAGGTCTAGAGGCTGAGAAGGAGCTGGTCCTGTAAAGCATGTGGAGTGAAGGAGGATGTTCTGGGAAGATGGAATGGTACGGGCAAAGTTCTGGAAACAAAAGAAGTTCAGTAGTTTGAAGGGCAGGGGAGTAGAAGCTGTGAAAATAATCAGAGACCCAACTATGAACAGCCTTATCATGTTCAGAAATTTGGACTTTGAAGGCAACTGGGAGCTACTGAAGGGTTTTACTGAGCTGAATGCATGATCAGATCTATGTTTTAGAACAACTTCACTAACTACACTGCAGAAAATGTACTAGAAGAGGACAAGCCCGTGACAGGGAGGCCCATTAGGATAGGATGACACTAATCTAGAGGAAAGATTATGCTGGCCTATTCTAGAGGGATGGCAAGGGGATGGAGAGAAGTAGACAGACTCAAGCGATAGTTGGGAGGTCTCATGGAGAAGAGTTGATAAGAGCTTGGATGTTCAGAGCTTAAGGGTAGGATAGAAGGAGGGATAAGGTTTAAGGTGAGTAAACACGTAATTTCAATATTCTGAGATGTGATAAGTGCTAAGTGCTTTGAATTAAGTCACTTTAGAAGCCATGGAGGTATGAAGCAAGGGCACCACCTATCACAGGCCTGGGGGGAGAGGAGAGGACTATCACGGTAGGCTTTACTAAAGAGATATCATCTAATTGGAGAGTTGATGGTAAAAGGGAGAGGCATTTCAGGCAGAGGAAATAGCGTATGCGAAGGCCCAGGGATGTGAAGATGTGAGATATAATGCACAAAGCAGATACTTTCTGTTCTCCAATAAGTGATTATTGTATTAATTCATACTAAGGTGTTAATAGTCAATATGGAATTGGCCCTTTGCCCATCCCAAGGGAGTTTGTACTTTAACAGGCTACAAATCCTTACCCAGCCCAGGGGAACACCAAAGGAAGGCCTGCAGCAACTGCCTAACAGCTCTAAGGAGGCATTGTTAGAAGAATTTCACAGTGGAATGGGGACAGTATCTAGGGACAGAGGGCTTTCCTATTATCCCTGAGGTCCCCGAAGCAGATGACTGAAATCTGAGGGTTAGGCAGGGTCAGGCCTCTATACAACAAATGGTCTCCTACCCTTGGGTCTTGCTTATCTGGCTCCAACCTTAGGTACCTGAGGCCAGGCAGGGAAGCCTGGTGATTTCCAAAGGGATGCAGTGTATCCATAGATGCAGTGTATGAGCACAAGCTTTCAGGTAAGACTACCTAGGCCCATAACCTGACTCCTCCTCTTCCCAGCTTTGTGACCGAGGGGCAAGTTACTTCTCTACACCTCAGTTTCCTCATCTGTAAAATGATGATAATAATAGTACCTGCAAATTAAGATTTTGGGAAGATCAGAAAAGATTATACATTCAAAAACTTAGAACAGTGAGTGGTGTTACCGTTTTTATTACAAGTCCTTTTTTCATTCTGTGTCAGTCTCTCTTCAAAGTTTATCCTTAATGCACATACCTGCAGATATGAAGCTAGGACGGAATGTGGCGAGAACTTTTTTGGATTATTATCGGCTGAACCCCCTGGTGGAGAAAGTGGCGATTCCCATGCCGAGGCTGCGGTAAGTAGCGGAGCAGAACAGTCTGGGCTTCAGTCCTGCTTAACTGCTCTTTGTGCAGGGGAAACTTCCTCTCTCTGGCCCTGAGTTTCCCATCTGTGTCATAGGAGAGATAATCCTGGCCCTGCCTCAGAGAGCAACAGTATATTCTCTGAGCATAAAGTATCATCATGAGATCAGACAATGAGGGGTGGTCACATTTCTGGGTCTAACATGAGAATGGGTGGAGGATTGCTAAGGAACTGAGTTCGGTCATTGTTCTAAGCTAGTATCCGTATTTTCATATGCTTCTTCACCTGATAGTTCCTCCTCTAGGATTTCTATATCACCTAGGCTCATAACTTCTCTGAGCTGTCAGTTTCTTCATCTGTAAAGTGGGGACAATGGTACTAAATGTAAGATTCTATGAGATGCATGTTAAGGCACCCAGCACAGTGCCAGGCATGCATCTGTCGCCTCTGTACATGATCGTCCCTTTCTCTCAAGACGCGAAGGTTCTGGACTGGAGAGGACACATCCCTGAGAAATTCCATTTCTGGGGCCGAGCCCTCCTCTGCTGGGGCCAGCTTCTTGCTGGGCCAGTGAGGAGAGAAGGTCAGGAGGTGACATCCATCCTGTCTGAGGGCTACGCCAGAGCCCAAAGCAGTGGGCATTCCTATGTCCACTGGTGGGGAACCCAGTGAGCATTTGGACAGACATCCAGGCATCTGAAAGGGCTAGCCCTGCCCTACCGTTTGACCTCATCGCCTACTCCCCCAGTGGTCCAGCCTTATGTCCCGTTGGCCATGGTGATGTCTAACTCCCTGCTCCTGTCAGTCTAGTCTTCCCCCAGACCTTGCCCATGACCTTGCTCATGTGCTTTGCTGCCTCAGGGCCTTTGCAGTGCTGTCACTTCCTCCCTACCCTGTTGTTAATTAATCCTATTATTTATTGTGTGAAGCACTTTTGGTTCATGATCTTTTTAACTCCTCACAACAACCCTTTGAGGTAGGTATTATATTCCCCACCATGCAAATGCGAACATGGAGGCTCAGAAAGGTTAAGAGGATTGCCTGAGGTCACAGAATGTTTGGCAGAGCCCTGATTTGATTCCAAAGCCCAGCACACCTAAGTCTAGCTAAGTTCCACTTCAAGTGGAAAGCCTTTCTCACTACCAGTATGGGTTCAAATTCTGTCTTAGGTTCATGCCAGCTGTGAGATCTTATGCAAGTTTCTTGGCCTCTTGAAGCCTTACTCTACCTACCTATAAAAGTGGAGATAATAACAACAACCTCTAAAGACAGTTTTGAAGATTGGATACAAACTTAATGCAGTGCCTAGCAGCCAGTAGGTGCTCAATAAATGTTTCCATATCTGCTGGCTTCTAGGTTGCAGTCCCAGATTTCTAACCAGCTCATCCTGGCCTAGGGCAAGTCCTTAACTTCTCTTGTTGGACTGGATGATCTCTCAGAGCCCACGTTCCACGATGCTGTGAGTCACACCATCTCTGAGCCCAGCTCCACACAGAATCTGTATGACAATGTAGGACTGACTCATGCCTTGTCTCAGATTGTTCACCAGTCAGCTAGAGCCTTTGTGCTGCCCATATTGGTAGATTAGAAATTCTTCAGGAAGATCGTGTCTGTTTCTTCTCTGTGCCTCTGCAGTGCCTTCCCCGTACTGAGCATGACTGCATATATGCATTCATTCATTCATTCATTCATTTAGGAAAAATAACACCCTCTGCCAGGCCCCTGGGGAGGGGGCTGCAGAAATGAGCAGATGATTAAGGCATGACCCCTGCTTTGAGGAGCTCGTCTCTAGTGAAAAGGGTTCATTTCCTTCTTAGAAGTCGTTCTTGATTGGTTAAAGTTCTTAAAATTGTAAAGCTTTATAAAACTCAAAAGAACTCCTGAATCTCATTTACAAGTCAGTTTGGAGGACTGTCTCTTTCAGGTCCTCTGTCAGCCTGAATAAAATTATCTTGATCCTTAACCACTTTTTTCTTGCGTGTTACACTGTCAGACCAACGAAATGATGCTGATACTCAGGGAGACTTTAGTAATCATCTAATCCCCCTCCATGTGCTGGGCCAGATTAGGAAATAGAGGTCCAGCAAGCAGAAGCGGCTGGTCAGGGTCAGGTGGTCAGAGTCCAGGTCCTTTGATACCCAGCCTCCAGCCTGGGGTTCTCAGCATCAGTCAGTGGAGATTTCTTTGAGGGACAGAGGAGAGGGTGCTGAAGCCGGAACTAAAGAATACAGGGGATTTCTCAGGGCCCTGATTTCAACTGTTTATGGGACCTCCTTGCCCTGAGCTTTAGAATCCTTTCAAAAAAGATCTGAAGAGTTCATTCCCCACAAGCTCACAAACTTGATGACTTAAATGCAAAACAAAACAAAACAAAAAAACAAACCAGTTGCCGTGGAGTCAGTTCCGATTCATGCCGACCCCACGCATGCATAATAGAACTACCCCGTAGGGTTTTCAAGGCTGTGGCCTTTTGGAAGCAGATCACCAGGCCTTTCTTCTGAGGCACCTCTGGGTACGTTTGAACCACCAACCTTTCAGTTAGTAGTCGACTGCTTAATCCCTTGCACCACCTAGAAACTCCTGCACCCATGCTTAAACTAAGAAACAATTTAACACCCCTGCCCCTGCATCCCCATACCTCTGTCTCATCAAACTATGAGCACCACTTAGCTCTAAAATGGGCATCAACCCTTTAAAAATGGATTCCCAGGATGAGTAAAGGCTCTGATTTGGGGATTTGAATACTTCCCCTTTTTTGGCATTATTTTGTACCTAAGCATCTAATAGCATAAGTGAAAGAGCAGTTCTGGCTTTAAAGGAAAATTACATGTTTTGACTCAAAATTTTGACTCAAAATTCTCCCATCTCTGTGGATAATTACAATCTGTTGGTTTCCACCCACGTGCTGGTGGAAGCCTGTCGGCGTCCCTGGGTGCTGGGCTGCCCTTCAGAGAGAGTCCCTGGGCAGGGGCAGCAGTGTGGACAGGTGAGCTCAGAGACATGGCCTTGGTGACCAAAGCTTTGAGACCTCACTTTATTTGGACCACACTGACATGGTTTCAAGGGCTAAAGCTAAAAATACCCCCATCCAAAGGGTTAAAAGTTAGACAGGAACAATGAGCAGGCCAGGTGAGCCTCTGTGGGAGGCAGTGGAGGAGAAGGGAAGGTGGGCTGAGCTCTGAGTGTGAGGCAGGCTCAGGCTCAGTGAGGGGCTGGGAGGGCTGGCTTCATGGTGAGGTTATGATGTGTGTATATGGCAGGGCGGTAGTGATACCAGCTATTTAACACTCATGTCCTGGAGCCCACCATGTGCCAGGCTCTGTGCTGAGTGCTGGAGGAACATACAGAGGCCCTGCCCATCAAGGGCCCCAATTAATGGAGGGGAAAGGCATGTACACATGCAAAGATAATAAACAATGTTGAACACTAAATAATAAGTGCTCAACTGCATATCAGAATACACCTTCTCTCAAAAACCTTCCATGGCTCCCCATTGCCTTCAGGATAATATTGCAACTCCTCTTCTTGTTATTCAAGACCCTGGCCTACATCATTACTTCATTTACCACCTGCTACCACTTCCCCATCTTTGTATAAGCACCCCCCCCCCCACCTGCACCGGCTTTCTACCACTCCATGCCCTATGCTCCAGCTTGAACAAGTTAGCCATTTTCATGCCTCCATGTCTTTGTTCATCCTTTTCCCTCTTTCTGGAATGTGCTCCCTTTTTGCTTCTTGCAGTATCACAACCTCTGTTTCACCATTCCTGTTCTCTACCCAAGACAGAGATATATTCCTCTGTGCTGGGTTCCTAACTGCAATTTGTACATACCTTTGACTTGGTATGTCCCGTGGTGTGTTGTCATGATATCTTTACTTGTCTGGCTTCTCAATTAGACAGGTTGCGCTTTGAGGAGCTGTGTCATACTCACTTCTGTATCCTCGGTGCATGGCATGGGGCCTAGGGCAGAGTAGGTGTTAAAGAAGTCCTGTATGTAACCAGATTATAAAATAACAGAACTGACGAAATCCTCTACTTCAACCCCTTCACACTATAGAAAAGAGAAGTGAGACCCAACAAGAAGTTATCCTCCCATATGCATCTGGCCAGCATTCGGCAGCAGGCAGGAGCATCCCAAGAAGTGGGGTTTGAAGTGGGCTTTGAGGGACATGTAGAATCAGACAGATTAAATAGAAAAGGGAGAGAGGGTATTCATGCTGGGGATAAGGTGTATGAGTGCAAGAAGAAAGACTTCAAAAGACATGTTCCAAGGCAATGACAAGGCCAGGATGTTTAGAGCAAAGGTAAAGATAAGACTGAAAGTTTGTTTCTATTCATCATTTCTATTCACCATTTTGCTCCTCAAGCACCTACCCCATGCCAGGCCTATGCTTGGCTCAGGAATTATAGAGAAATATGAAATGCTTCAAACTCACAGTTTGATGAGGGAAACTGATGGGCAAAGAACTACCTAGAAAATGGCGTGCTGAGGGGTGATATGCAAAGTGCTGCAGAAGCCCGGAGGAGGGAGAGGATAATTTTCTGGAAAATTGGCTTTCCAAAGGAAGTGGGTCTGCAGAGGCCCAGAGATTTGGGGTGCTTTCCTTCCAGCACCATCTCTCCCTCGGTACCCCATCTTTAGTTATCTTCCTAACCCCACCAGTCAATTCTGTACATTCACACTCCTCTCTAGCCACTACGCTCCTTCCCCCATGCCACCATCTACCTAAGGCTACCCACCTACAGCTCCACCTGGGCTTACCTTTCTAGAGCAAGCACACCCTCTCTTGCTGCTATAAAAACATACCTATCTTATACCCCAGGCTCCCTTTGGGTGAGAAGAACCATACCCCTCAACGACATCTGAGTGGCACCCTTGTAATTTACAAAGCTCTTCCCCAACCTCCATTTCACCAGAGCCTATGAGGCAGGAAGGACATGGGCCCTTCTCCACATTTTAGAGATGAAGAAACAGAGGCTCAGAAGGAAAGGGACTTGTTTAAGATCACATTGCCTATAAATGACACTCCAGGTCTGTGGCCCAGGCTGTTAACGGGTGTTGAAGTCTAGATGTATCTCACCCATGCTAGACAATCTTGCCATGTTAGCAAGGGCCTTCCATGAGTGTACAATGTCAGGCAGTGAGGCTTCCGGGTGAGAAGATATGTTAGGGTAGGTGTCCCTTTTGTATGCTGCCACCTGTTTCACCTTTATTCATGATTCATTAACAATAAAGGAAAATGAATACTTCTGTGTCAGTGCATAATGTATCACAGAAGTCAGTTCTTCAACCCTAATTCAAACTCAGCCCAGGAGATGCCCATATTTATGCCATTTACTACTTTCTGCCATATGTTGAAGTTATTTGTTATTTTGTGTCTTTGTTTTGTGCTACCATGTCCTCTACTAAACTGTAAGCAACCTAAGGATAGCATCAATGTCTGACTCATCTTTGTCATCTCCAGAGCCCGTCAGACTGTACCTAGCACACAGCAGGGAAGGGAAGGCACTAGCTGCTTTTACTCATGTTATTTAACCTCATAACACCCTGCGAGATAGGAATGCTTTATCCCAATTTTACAAATAAGGCTCAGAGAAGGTAAGTAACTTGCCCAAGGTTATACCTCTAGTACACAGCAGACCTGGGAATTGAGTTCAGTTTTTTCTGACTCCAAAGCCTACTTTTTCTACTACAAATAAATCTTAATGCAATGAACGAATTGGCACATCAGTCAACAATATAGCAAATATTTACTATTTCTTTAGTACAAGGCCCTGAATGAGGGAGAATGCAAAGATGAGTAAAAACGTGGTCCCTGCCCGCAAGGAGCTCATAATCTAGTATGCAAGCAAAGCAGACAAGTGGGTGTTACTGCACGGAGACATTCAGGGTATTTCACTGGGTATTGGGTACTGAGTTCTGGGACACAGGGATGAACCCTACATCTCTGTTCTCTAAGAGTCCCCAAATCTGTGGGAGAGACAGACCCACCATGAAATGCCCATAATTGGGCTCTATCGAGGAAATAAAGGGGACTCTAGAGCCCGTGATGGTTATGAAAGGAATGACGTCCCAGCCCCTCCTAAGCCACAGCTCTTCTACAGCCCAGCCCATCCCATCCCATCGTGGCCTGAGTTGGAATCAGGATGGGAAGATGGAAGAGTTGGAGCTGTAGGACAGTTAGGTTTTCCCCACAACTAGAATGACACAATATGTTTATTCATTCATCTAATATGCATTCTTGGTGCCTGCTTTGAATCAGGCTGAGGGCTGGGCTCTGGGAACACAGAGAACAGGAAGACAAGACCACTGCTGCCAGGAGGTCATAGTCCAGTGGGGGGAGATAGACATGCACACAGATGATTATAACACAGTTCGTATATGTGCTATCCTTCTTCTGTCTCTCTGCTTATCTTCTCCTTTGCAGGAAAGAAAAACCCCCTCCCTACAAGTACCCACTCCTGCGGGGCCTGGCCAGCAACTACCCCAACGGCAAAGGGGACAAGAAGAGCTCAGTGAACCACAAAGACCCTTCAAACTCTTTTTAAAGACATGGAGTCCGGGGAGGTCTTGTGGGCACAGGAGCATGCATTTTCTGCTAGGATATGAAATTAATCACCCTTTTCCAGTTTTCCAGATAAGATTTTGTGGGATAATAAATTGGCTAGTGAAAAGGGAGAAAAAATGAGAAATTTCATCATTGATTTTCCCTTTTACCAATGGAAAATCAATTGAGAGACTTCAGCTCAAAGCTCAGGAACAAAATAGGAGACCTAAACCAGGCGAGTACGGATGCTATCTTCCACAACGTGGAGTTCCTCTCAGAAAGAGGAAAACCCACTCATCCCTTTGTAAGAGGTTTGACACATCTCAGGTCAGTCCTTTCGAAGCCCTTTCACATTTTTAAGTTGTAGTTACTATACATGGCTACATTTTAGAATAGGCTATGATTATTTGCAGCTTTAAAGATGCACTATTTGTATTTTCTGATCCAAAACAAAAGTAACAACATGTACAACACAAAGACAAACGTACTGTTGGGAACAATGGGACAGAATTTTTGAAATCAGGGTGATCTTAGACATATGGTCACTAGTCAATATGCTGCTGCTTCCTGGCTCCCCCAGCCCCAGCATGAAACTTCAGAAAACCATGTTGAGAACTATTTGCTAATTACCTGGGTGATTTAATTATTACCTAGGTGGTTGAATTATAACTTTAGCTCCAAAAGCAAAAAGGGTTGGTCACTTATTCCAAAAGGTACATCATGGTTAAGATCTCCAGATCTGTCTGGGAACAAGCTTTTCCATTTAAGAGATGGGCATTGATAATCTACAGAGGAAGAAGAGAAGGGGTCAGCTTGAGGGAAGGGTGACTGCCAGGTGAGGAAGATGCAAAAGACAAAAGGATGCACCCCAAGGCGAGCAGGAATGATAAAACAGCAGTAGCAACTGCCAAGGTGGTGCAAGCTAAACATTGTTCATTTTTCTGAAGAGTAAAGTGCCTTTGCATGATGAATGGGTCCAGGGGAGTCTGCTCCCTTCCTGTCTATAGAAGCAGCAGGCTGAGTTACCATGACAGCCTGCTAATTAAAATGACCTCCCGGAAATGAGGATTAGGAAATAAGGAGAGGAACGGAGACTCGAGGGAGATGAGGCCTTTAGCACAAAGCTTCAATTAAGCATTCTTTTGGTTTGGTTGGAGATTTTTAAAGTTGGTTGCAAAAATCGAGAGCAAAGCCTGTTCTCTCTTTGCATGTTGCTTCGCAGAAATGATAACAAAGAACCATATGTTAGCTGGCTACAAATGCTATGTTGTATATAGAGCTTCTCCCCTGGGTTCTTGTTGCCCCAATAAAGCGGTTTGTGCAGCTGCTCTGTTCCTATGGGTATTCTCGGCACCTCTCCCTCTAGATCTCACACTCCCTCAAGGAACCAACCAGCCAGCCCAAATTTGGCATAAACCATACTTTGACATCAGGGGCTTTGTTATCAAGATAAGGAAGAATGGTCAAGACTTGACTTTCCAGCAGTTCCTGTGTCAGAGTCCTGGGGAGGTTAGTTGACTGCAAGCAGCTCAGTGGGAGTCAGTAGTGTGGCAGGCCTCTCAGGAATAATAGCATCACTCCAGGTAGCAGGAATAGAGGCAGCTGTAGAAAATAAAGGAGATGATAGCCCACACCTGTTTTTTACTGATCAGACCACTTCCACAATGTTGTGACCATATTTTGGCCTCACATTTTAAAAACAGAATTGACTGATTGGATCTCAGGCTACACAGGCAGCAGGTAGGCTAGTGGTTTAAGAGCAAAAAGTTGGAGCCAGGCAAAACTGGGTTCTAACTCTGCCTTAAAACCCTGGTTCTGTTTCTCAGTATCTATATGATGTCGGGCAAGTTGCTTAACCCCTCTGAATCTTAGGTTCCTAACCTGTAAAATGGTAATAATAATGTAATGGTAGCTCATTACAGTAGTTATGAAGATCTGATGAACTTAGGTATGGGAAATGTCAGCAAAGGATCTCAATACATGATAGCTATGATCATTTGGAAGGTAATCGGAATGACGAGATGCCTAAATCATTTCCCATTATCAATGGATGAGGAGACTAGAGCTGTTTATCCTGAAGAAGAAAAATCAAAGGGAGTGGGGTAGGAAAGCAAGATCACTGTCTCCAAAAAGTTGAAGGAACAACATGGGACAAAAGAAGCCTACTTGTTCTGTGTTGCTCAGATATAAAAACAAGGTCCAGGGATGAGACACAGTAAGACAGATTTCAGCTCAGGATGAGGTAAACTTTCTAATGATTAGAGTTGCCAATTGTTGGACGGGGACAGTGAGCTCCCCATCAACAGAGGTAGACAAGCAGACACTTAATGAACATCTGTCAGGAAGGGAATAGAGGGGAAGAGTTTTCAGTACTGAGATGGAGGACAGCACCAAGCCAGCAGGTGAAACAGCCAGAGCTTATTGGCCTGATCAGCCCCAGCAGGAGGTGCTCCAGCCTTTCTTCTTGCCTACCCACTTCCTTCTCAGGACAGAGCAATAAACAAACAACAAAACCTTGCTGTTGAGTCAATTCTGATTCATGGCCCGATGTATTACAGAGTAGAACTGCTCCATAGGGTTTTCTCAGCTGTAATCTTTATGGAAGCAGATCACCAGGTCTTTCTTCCACAGTGCCACTGAGTGGGTTCAAACCAGCAACCTTTAGGGTGGTAGTTGAGGACAAACCATTCGTGCCATCCAGGTAGAGTTGGCCACCGTGTCAGAGTTCTTTGTATGTCTGAGAAAAAGGAGAGGAAGACAAACATACTGGGTCTCTTCCTGGCTCTCACACAACTCTCCGTACTCAGTGCCAGCTTTGTTCCACATCAGTCCAGAGAGTCAGACACGGGAATAGAGGTCCTTTTACTCCCAAAGGGTCAGAAGGCCTCAAAAGCTCTGGTAGGCAAGCAGGCCACCCAGCTTCCTTGCTAGCAAAGCTCACAGCAGAGGAGGCTGAGTCACCCGCTCTAATGATCTGGTTTGCTTTGCCTTTTAAACACAGCAGCATAGTGGGCCCTTGGCCAGGAGCTTTCCCTGTTGCCTCTTTGAATTGGAGGAGGCACAGGAGAGCTTATATCCTTTGACTGTAAATCAACTGACACACCTGAGGCCTGCCTTAGAGGACCCCCAACTCATTTTTCTAAACAGTAAGAGTAGGGCCAACCATGGAAGTATGGGGTGATAACATACATCAATTCATACATCTATCAAATAGTTATTGAACATATATTGTGCAGCAGTCACTGTACTAGAGGCGTTCACATCCATTGCCTTATTTGATGTTCCCAACACCCTAACAACTATGAGGTAAGTATCATTTTCTCCATTTCCCTAGTGAGAAAATTGAGAATCCTAAAGGGAAAATCCTTTGTTTGCATTCATATAGCTAGTGAGAAACTGGATTCAAATGCAGCTCCCTTTCCACCACTCCATACTGGGTCTTTTCCATTTGTCTCTCAGGTAAAATCAGGTCAAAACAGAAAAACAGGTTAAAGCAGAATAAGGAAACAATGGCACCATCTAGAGGTAGTGCGGGTAGGAAGAGAGGGAAGGAGTGTGTAACTTTTCAGGCTGGCTGCATGTGTAAGAACTTCAGGGCTTTTTAGCACCTGCTTATGGAGCCCTGCCTTCTTCCCATTTCTCGTTTCCACCCGCATGTCCGAATCCCTGCTGTGAGCCCAGCACCTCCAGAGGGTAGGGTTTGGAGCATGAGGCCTGTGATGGTTAAGACTGTGGGTCAACTTGGCTGGGCCATGATTCTCAGTGTTTTGGCAGTTGTATAACATTGTGATCACTTCCCTGTTGAAATTTGGTATGTGATCACCCCCATGATGGAATCTGCTGAGTGGTCGTGCAGAGAATTCCAGATCTTCAGTGCCTCTGGAAACTCTGCGAGATAGTCATTGCTGGGCCCATCTGGCACTCTTTGGTTTACTGACCTCAAGCAGATAATTAGCTCAGGTTCTTTATCACTCCCTCTTTCTGGAGTGTGTGAGCTGAACCTGCAGTGTCCCTCAACTGTTGTTCAGAATGCAGAGTCCCTGCCTCCTGGGCACTTTAAGAGCACCAGGATTAGACATCCTATCACTCCTGGCTCAGCACAGCTAACAGGCCGCCAGAGTCAGACAGAGTAGGGGAGACATTACAACCTAATAGAAACAGCCTGGGTTTAAAGTTAGACAAATCTAAGTGTGAATCCCAGCTATTCTATTAATTAGTTGTATGGATTTAGGCAAAGTATTTTACCTCTTTCAACCTCAGGATTCTCACCTGTAAAATGAAAGAGATAATATCTACCTCCCACAGTTACTGTGAAGATTAAATACAATAACATCTATAAAGCACCTGGCACAGAATAGAACTCTTTCCCCAAACTATCCTCCCCCTCGTACTCCACCTCCTACTTGCTTACAGGGTTGGAAATTTCTTTTCTTGAAGCCAAAGCTTTTCTTACCCCCAGATCACATGCAGACAGAAGTACAAACCCTTTCTGAGTAGAGGACAGTCGTGATAGAGTTGCTCAGGAAAAATGACAGTCCTGCTGAGGGGTCAGTGCCAGGGCTGGGACCTAGGTCTTATTCATCTTTATGGCCTCAGCATTTAGCACAGAACATGGAGCTGAGTCTGTGCTCACTGAATAAAGAATGAATAAATTATTGGAGTGGAGGTGGGATAGTCTGAAGGCCCTGAACTCACAGAAGGGAAGAAAGATATAAGTTGGGGGCTCTGAACAGATGGGAAGACAGTGTTGAAGACGATATTCACCCAGTCTGGATTGAGGCAGAATGTACAAGATTAAAAAGAGAGAGGGGTATATATTCTGAAAGATACCATGTTTTATTAAAATAGCAACAAACAAATCTTTCCAGGATTTATAAGAGGGTCTTTCATGTCAATTGACATGCAGCTTTTCAGGGATTGTCTCTATGAAGTGATCATCCCTACAATCTCTGCCACCTGACACTCAGGACTTCCCTGGTGCCCTCTCACTGCTGTTAGCAATTCCTACTCTTACCACGCTCAGGGTGCATGCTAGACAGGGCTTATTGTCCCCGTTTTGCAGATGAAGAAACTAAGATCAGTGTGATTGAGTTACTTGCCCATGGTCCATAGCTGGGAAATGACTAGAACAGGACCTGGGCACCAGCCTGACTGCCACGCCTCACTGCCTCTAGGCTCAACTCTAACTCCAACAATAAGCCTGACCAATCCAGAAGTTCATCTCTATGACCCCTGTTTTAGCTCCTCTCATGCTGAAAATTCAGTTGTCTCCCAAAGACTTAGGATCTATTGCTGGCTGACTCCATGTCAATCTCAAGTGCAAATCTGCTCTACTTGCTGGTATTAGCTGTCGTGGTTCATGTCCTCATCTTCCACCTAGTTGCCCAGGCTGGAAATCCTGCCACTGTCTTAATTTCCTTCTCTCCCTCTCCTCACACATCCAGCCGGTCACCAAGGCCCATTGCTTCTGCCTCTGTGAAGCCTCTCCCTCCAGGCACTGTACTGGACTGACTTTGGAGTCAGACAGACCTGAGTTCTGATCTTAGCTCCACCACTTGCTATTTGTCTTGTGAGTCACTTAAAGCAGAGTTTCCTTTCCTCACTTTAAAAGAGGTTAGTAAAAACTACTTGGCAAGTATGTTGACCATTTCCTTTTCTCTATCCTTTCCATCCTCTCCTTCCTTTCCACTCCCGCCATCATCTGCTGCCTGGATTGTTGTAATGGCATCCTGAATGGCCTCCCTGGTTGTCCAGATTCTCTCCTGCTAGCCCATTGTCTCTTTGGAAGCTTCCAGGATCTTTATAAAAAAACAACTGCCATGTTTAGCACATTTCTTTCACATCCATTATCCAAGTCAGGAGCCTGGATATCGTCCTACGTTTGTGTCTTTCACATCCCTCTTCTGATCAATTGCCAAGTCGTGCCAGTTCTACCCACTCAGTGTTTCTCATATCCATCCACCCTCTCTGCTCCTCTTAACCAAAGAGAATCCTCACCATTCCAGACTTAGCTCAGATGTCCCGATTCCATGACACCCTCCTCAGTTGTAATCAACTCCTACCCTCGTCGGTTCCCCCAGCTCTTTGTTTATTCGTCTATTTATCAATTATTTCACTCAGGTTATAGTCACCTCCCCTACTATCATTTAATATCTTTAAGAGTGGAGATTGTATCTTCATCTTTGAACCTCTCATAGCACCTAACAGAGTACCACAGATGTCAGAAGCATCAGTACATATAGCAGAAAAAATGAAAGAATGAATGACTCTCAAATCCAAAATTTCATCCTGACTCCACCCTGATCACTTGATCCTAGCTGCA